GCGTACTGCAGATCCGCTTGATTCAGGAACAGGACTACTGAGACCTCTGACTCACACAAGGCTTGATTAACCTTATGAGGTCCTTCTTGTGCTATCGCAAACTGGTAGATACATCTGATCTGGAGTTCGGTTTGTATCTGTGTGATACATAGCTTACTTGTCTGATAGCAATTTTCAGTTTTACCATTGCTCCTCAATCCACAGCTCCTGCCGTTATCTATTCACAATCTCTGCATCTTTAACTACTAGACTTTATTGCATTTGAGCTGTTAAATTAAATTACATCGAGGCTCAACTATGCAAACTCACTGCTTGTTGGCCTCCCCAACTCCTCCTTCCACAGGTTGCAGATCATCCAGAACTGCAACCTGTGTCCTCTCCCGCACTAGGCTCCGCGACCCTATCACCCCCATCCTCGCCCAACTCACTGGCTTCCCATCACACAGAGGATACAGTTCAAGATCCTGGTCCTCACCTTCAAAGCCCTCCATGGTCTTGCTCCCCCCTACCTCTCCAACCTGCTAACCACCTCCTACCTGTTTGCTCATTCCACTCAGCTCCGGCCTGCTTCACGTCCCCCACCTTGGTCGCCCCACTATCGGTGGACAGGCTTTCCGCCACTCTGCCACCCTTCCTCTGGAACTCCATCCCACAGTCCCTCCGTCTTGCCCCCTCCCTCATCACCTTCAAGACGCACTCAGGACCCTCTCTTCGACCATGCTTTCGATCTCCCTGCTTCCACCCATGCCCTCCACCCTCCCCCACCCTGACCATCATCTCGGGCCCGTAACTCTGTCTTTCCAGTGCCTTGGGATGTCCTGCCGATGGTGAAAGGCGCTATGCAAATGTAATTTTGTTGTTGTTGTTAAATAAAGAACACCTATTACATTGCACCAAAGCTAATGGAATTGCAGAGCTCTTAAAATTGTTATGTCTACCACATTATGAATTATGTTTACACTCAACTTCTATTTTATATAGAAGTTGTGGTGTCCATTGAAAAGATGAATTGCAGCTCTAACATTGCCGAGTTCTTAAAAACATAGCCTGGTGAAGCACAACAAGCAAGTCGCAGGTTTGAATCCCACCCAGTCTTTGCTGAAATAGTTGACCTCAGCCAGAGTAGCAATTGGTTTTCTATAATTAACCTTGGAAATGGTAACTTTGGCATTTTGGATTGTGAGAATATAGTTTCAGTGAGCGTGTATGAATACTGTAACATGCAACAATAGAGTGGGCAATATTTGCTGAACTTTTGTTTTGCTTGTTTTTAAAAAAAAGTGTCCGATTATTTTTCTAATTTCATCTCCATTGGCCTCTGCTCCAAGTTCCCAGCCTCTATAATGTTGGTTTCAGCCGTAGAGGATGTCACGTATTAGCCAGGACTCTCTTCATCTGGTTGTCGCACACCTGCATTAGAATTGGAGGATGTTCATAGGGATCAGAACTAGTCACCCAGGTTGGTTATATTTATTTGGTCCAACAACAACAATAAATTACATTTGTATAGCGCCTTTCACGTAAGGAGGACGTCCCAAGGCGCTGGTCCAATTTAGCCTCCCCATGCAGCTCTGCAGAGACCAGCAAACTCAATTCAAACTAGCAAACCCCCACGTCTACGCTTGAGCTCTGTCCACTACATCATTGGATGCCCTAATTTTATAGTCTTAATAACTTCCCCTTTATCATTTTGTGTTGGTGAGTGGGTGAGATAAAGATAAAGAGAGGAAGTCAGCTTGGAGAAAATGGCCCTATAAAATTGTCTATTGGATATGAAGTCATGTCATCCCTGTCATGCAGACATACTTCTGTTGCACTGGAAATCCATTTATTTGTGAACACAATATTAATATTAACACATCAACAAGCACAGCCTTTTATTTGTTGGTAGAGTAGAACATTTTATACACAGAACTGAACTTTCATCGCTGCTTCTTATGGTCTGATATGCAGATATGCAAGCTACACACACACACACATACACACTCATAAAGCTTCAGTATTTATGGAGTCCTGTAGCTCAGTTAGAGAATTTGCCTTGTAAGCAAGAGATCTAGATTTGATTCCTGGAAGGGCAAAATTTGGGCAAGTTTCCTTACGCACATGCCTCTGTTTATCTAGCAGTAAGTAGGAATCTGGTTGTTAGTTGATTGACTGATCACTTTTCCGGGGGTTATAATTCCTTTTTTAAAAAAATATTGGTCACTTCAATCCACAACTGTTTGTGGGACACCGATGTGCACCATTGGCTGCCGCGTTTTGCCCACAAAATATAGTCAATTTACTCTACAGTATATTCTGTGAAGCGCTTTGAGACGTCTTGAAGATGTGATAAAGCACTATATCAAATGCAAGGATTATTATATGATAAGTTCCAGTCATAGACCTATTCCAATAGCAGATGTCCGGTGCTGGAAAATGCATTGACATTCCATTACATCAGTATTTTATATTGGTGTGTTACACTCTCTGGTTTTTAACAGATTATGTTGAGAGACCCAAAACAGAAGGGACATAAAAACCTAAGGCAGAAATCATTTGGAGAAGGCCAACTGCACTATAATAAATAACTAGAAACATGCTGCTGTTTTAACAAGTACCATCGTACACAGAGGTTGATGGAATGACATAATATTAACGCTGTACTCACATTGAAGCCATTCTGTACTCCAATAGGCTGACCAGAGCCTTAAATAGATGATTGAAAGGTGCAATTCTCTTGTAAATGGAACAGACGTGTATTAATTAGTGAGCTTTTGAATTACAACCATGTTGATATAAGTAAAACGAACATGGCACAGGAAGACTCATTCTGGATCCATCTTATGAACAAATGCATTTCCAGTTAAATTGGTTTGCAGAATGTGCAAGCCCAACATGCCTGTTTGGGATTGTTAATCTTTAATGCTCCAACACATCAATACAAATTCTGCTGCTTCACTGAGCATTGCGGATGCCATGGAATTTCTGCTCTGAATTAAATTGTACACGGCAGTCAGACATGCCAGATGAAATACCAGCTATACTTCAGATAGTATTCTCATAGGATGTGGGATTTGTATGCAGATCCTTTAGGATTTTATGTCCTTTTGGATTACTGAATCACTGGGATGCTACAAATCTATTTGGACTTCAAACTGGCTGAAATTAATGACCAGCAGAATAAGAATGAGTTTTAAAAACAATAATCATGTTCACAAATAGCCTTTGTCCATGCACGGTGACATTTTGTAAACTCGTTCTCTATGTCTAGCATCTGAGATAATTGGGAGGCAAACCATTGGTGTCCAGCAGTTAGGTTTTCTCCTACCTGTCACCTTCTAAAGCTGTTCGTACACTGAACTGCTGGCTCGATTAACAGCAGTATGCATTTATATAACACTTTTCACATGTGGAAGACTTCTCAACGTGTATCACACAGCTGACTGGAAAACCGAGTTTTCGAGAGGTGGGCGGTCTTGCTTATGAGTCAAAAGGCTGTAGGTTCCAGCCCCATGTCAGGAATATGAGCTTACCATCGAGACTGATACTCCAATGCAGTGGTCCCAGCTTTTAGATGAGATGTTAAACCGAGGTCCTGTCTACCTGTTTAGGTGAACGTTAAAGATACTCAAGGTACTATTCAAAAATGAGAATTAAGTTTCTCCCGGGGTCCTGGCCAACAATCCATTAGTCATTCAGTTCATGGCTGCTTGTGGGACATTGCTGTGTGAAAATTGGTGCTGCATTCACTTACAAAATACAATCGTTATCTTTTACAGTGTATGCTGTGAAGCACTTCAGGACATCCTTTTGACGTGAAAGGCATTATTTCAAAAACAAGGAATATTTAGCATTATTTATATAGTGCTATATACTATATTTTATATAGTGCTATATAAAAGTAAATTGTTGTGTAAAGAACTTTTAATGTACCTCTTTTAATCTGGCCACTACTTTTGCATGATGATAACATGTATATGATGACTGTATAATAGATGTTCATGGTTCCCAAATGATGACAGAGTAGGCAGGGATTTGTTGAAATATAGTCTCTATTCTGGTTGTATATTTAATAGGTAGGTTAAAAGGAAAGATATCAGAGGAGAAGCATAAAGCCAGTAATAAGGCAATCGCTTGATTTACACCAAGTCAGTGGCTGCAAGATTGAGCATTGTGTGGGTTAATGTTCCTCTTTGCCCAGTGCTTGGGTATGAGATTTATTTATTCATAAGAAAAAAGTCCCCATCTAGAGGAATTATTTCAATAAATATTTCAGATTACATAAGGGGACTGGGGGTGCAACAAGACACAAACGCATGTGGTTGTACTCCATTAGAAAAGATACACAAGAGAGCAACAAGACAGGTTTCAAGTGTAAGGGGATAAGCAATGAAAAACACCATGAGAAATTTATACTTTGCAGTCTGGAATGGAGTCCGTTAAGCTATATAAATTATTTAATACTGTGTATAATTCTGACTCGCCTCTGAGTCAGAAGGTTCCGAGTTGAAACACAGGCCAGAACTTGAGTTCATCATGGGCCGCTGTGTTTGTGCATTAATGAGGTAAGTTACATTGTCAGAGGTGCCAACCTTCTGATAAGACTTTAAATCGAAGTACCTTCTGTCTGTTTTGGTGGCCCAGATGGACAATACTGATCCACTGCAGCAAAGAAGAGCAAGGAGTTCGTTCTGGTGCTTTGACTGATCTAAACTCATTTAAAAATATTTAATTTGTTCATTCATATCATTTTTATCTGTGAGACTTTGCTGGAACAGATTAGCTGCTGTGTTTGCCAACATCAAATCATTGTATGAAGCTCTTTGCGAACTTGGCGAAGCTGGTAGATTCTCAGAACAAGTCAGATGGTTGAGTAGGGCTATGTGAAGTCAGATCATTGGTGATATCTTTGAGCTGGATGATGTATTCAATTTGTCCAAAATCTTAAAGGTGAGCAGAACATACCCTTTGGATTTCTACAGATCTGATATTTTTGTGTTTTTTCTTTTTCTCCCTAGACTAGAAAACCTGTAATTGACGACCTGTTTACTGACCTTTGTGATGGAAGAAGGCTTCTCGAGCTCCTGGAGGGTCTTGTTGGTTATGATATAGTATGTGATGAATTTACATTACTGTTCTCAATGGTCACATTATATCAGTAGCAGGCATAAAGCACCACTTGGTACATGGCAAAAGCATGTTTTCTCTTGAGGTGTGGGAGTACTAATCTCTATCAGTAATGCACTACAATCACGCTAATAGTGTAAGCCTGCAGTAGAGTGTGGGACTTTTATGGCTTGACTTGTAATTAAGTTTAATTTTCCCTATTTCATTAGAACATTTTTGCAAATGGTTTTCTATTCTTCAAACTACCAAATTATTTACCCTACCAATTTCAAAGAATTTACTTTAACTTTAAATATATTGGTTGCTGCTTCAGGTATGTAGCTACTGCTCTCGTATATAGCCAATGATTTTATACCTCATAATGTTTTTTTCTTTAAAACCCTTTTTATTCCTAATTTCAGATTTAGTATATTTGAATTGCGGAAAATTCTGAAAAGAAAGATTTCAGTTTTAAAAAAATTTGCAGTAACTTGTTCCCAGTTCCTGTCCTGAAAAGTCAGGCGTTTAAAGCCCTTTGCCGAAGAGTAGTGTTTTGCCCATTCCAAATTTTCTTCCTTTTTTTAAAGTTGTGAGTTCTCTTTGGTTTGATCTGTCGTGCAGAAGAACATTTTTTGCATGTTTTTTGCTGGATTAGATTTGAGATTTTGATAGTTGATCACCAAATGAGCATGTTTTAATTTTTGTGGAAGAAAGAAACATTCATGCATTTCCAAGTAGTTCTATTGTCAAAAAGCTGTCGGCATTTGATTTAAGATAAAAACTTTTACGATGTCCTCGGTAAATAAAATAAGACTGTACCTTAGTCCTTCTTATATAATGACTTAGTAATGTTAATGGACAGTGTACTATTAACAAATAATTGATTTGGGCAATGTAACTGAACAAAAACAAAGCTGAGGTAATTCAAGGTTAAAGTCCTGGAGCACTCTCTACACAGAAAATGACTCAAGACATTGTCAAGAAAGAAAGCCAATTCATCATGTATGATTTTCAGGGCATTAAGAAAATTTATGTGTATAATAAGGCTAGTTGTGGTCCTTGAATACTTTCTTTAACACTGTAGCTACTATATTTCCAGCATGCCATCCATACCGCTTCTGATGAATAGTTTTAAACCATAATTACCAGGTAAAATACTGCATTATTGTAAATTCAGTAATATAGTCCAGAAGGTACTGACCTATTGAATCTATATACTTAAATGTGGTTAGAATCTGGCAGATTCTGTGCCAACAGGTCCTGTACAAAGATAGATGTTGTAGGTGAAGCAACAATAATTATCTCACCTACTATCAGCACAGAGTACAAAATAAAATGAGATCAGAAAAATACGATGGGAAATTTAGATGGGCAGGAGAAAAAGAGAGTAAGCAATGGACCTAAAATTTTCAATAATACAACAATAATAACATTACATTTCTATAGCGCCTTTCACATCGGGAGGACATCCCAAAGCGCTGCACAGACAAAGTTTCAGACCCGAGCTGGGGATCGGGATCGGGGAGGGTGGAGGGCAGGGGGGAAGCAGGGAGATTGAAAGCACGGTGGATGAAGAGTTATGGAGTTCCAGGGGGTGGGGTCAGAGTGGCAGAAGGCCAGCCTGCCAATAGTGGGGCGAGCGAGGCGGGGGAACGTGAAGGCTGCTGAGCGGAGGGAGCGAGCAGGATGGTAGGGAGTTAGGAGGTCGCAGAGGTAGTGGGGAGCAAGACCATGGAGGGCGTTGAAGGTGAGGATCTTGAACTGTATCCTCTGTGTGACGGGAAGCCAGTGGAGTGGGGCGAGATGGGGGTGATAGGGTCATGGAGTCTGGTGCAGGAGAGGACATGGGCTGCAGAGTTCTGGATGATCTGCAGCTATGGAAGGAGGAGTTGGGGAGGCGGACAAGCAAGGAGTTTGCATAATCAAGACTCGATGTAATGAAAGCATGTATGAGGGTTTGGGTGGCCTGCGGAGTAAGACAGTGGCGGGGTCCGGCGATGTTGGGGAGGTGGGGGGAGGCAGAGCGGGTCATGGCGCAAATGTGGGATAAAAAGGAGGGTTGAGCGTAAAACAAGACGCCAAGGTTCTGGAATGGCTTAGTAAGGTGGAGTGTGCAACCATGGATGGTGATGCTGTCAGTGCCCCAGGTGTGGAGGCGCTGACGGGAGCCAATCAGGAGAGCCTCGGTCTTGTTGCCGTTCAACTGAAGAAAGTTAGCTCTCATCCAGGACGATGTCTGACAGACATTCTGTCAGGACAGCAGTGGTCCTGGAGTCAAGGGTGGAGGCAGAAAGGTACAGTTGGGTGTCATCCGCATACATGTGGAAGTTGACCCCATGTCTGCGGATGATATCGCCAAGAGGGAGCATATAGATATTGAAGAGGAGGGGACCAAGGACAGAGCACTGAGGAACACCGCATGAGACAGTGCGAGGGCTGGAGGAGAAACCATTTGTGGAGATGAAGTGCAGGCGGTGTGAGAGGTAAGATCTGAACCAGTCAAGGACAGAGTCGTGAAGGTTGAGGCGGTGTATGAGGATAGAGTGGTCGACGGTGTCGAAGGCAGCAGGGAGGTCAAGGAGTACGAGGAGGCAGAGGGAGCCCTGGTCGCAGATGGACAGAATGTCATTTGTCACTTTGACTGTTTCTGTGCCGTTTCTGTGCTTTGAGCAGCAAGGAAACCCAATTGGAGGGGTTCGTGAAGGGAGTGGCGGGAGAGGAAGGAGCAAAGGTGGGAAGCAACCACTCGTTCCAGGACTTTGGTGAGGAAAGGGACGTTGGAGATGGGGTGGTAATTTGATGGGTAGAGATGGGTTCAGGGAGGGTTTTTTTAAGGATGAGAGTGATGATGGCCATTCTTAATAAGGTGAGAACAGTACCAGTGGACAGGGAGAGGTTTATGATGCCAGTGAGTAGAGGGGCAAGGAGGTGGAACTGGGAGGTAAGGAAAGGGGTAGGAATGGAGTCAAAGGAGCAGATGGTCGATTTCATGTGGGTTACAGTGGTGGTGAGAGAGGAGGGGAAGACAGGTTTGAAGGTGTGGAGAGAGGGATGGGTAGGGGCTGGAGTGGGAGATGGGGAGGGTGTAGCAGACCGAATGGTAGAGGCAGCTGAGGGGATCCCCTCGACTTTGGATTCAAGGAAGTCCAGCATCGCCTCACAGTTGGCATTTGAGGTGAGGATGGTCGAGGCATGAGAGGATGGGCAGAGGAGCCAGTTGGTGATGGAGAAGAGGAGCCTGCAGTTGTCCTTAGCACCCAAGATTGTCCTGGAGTAGAACGACGATTTAGTGGAGATGAGGGCGGAGCTGGAAGATTTGCTAAGGTCCAGCTAGATCTGCCAATGGATCGTCAAGTAATATATATATATAATATATATATAATATAGCAGGATGTGTCCCTCCAGGGAGTGAGTACACATTCCATTGCAACAATCTATCTCTGGAATTTGCTTGTGTAGATGCATGCAAATCTCAGTTTGGTTTGAATACTCTTAAGTACGGTGATGGGTCTCTGCCTGTGATGATGCTATTACCTAATCAGCAATGCCTGTAATCCATGGACTGCATGTTTTAGTTCATAATAATTGGTACTGAAACTGTATAATCCATTAATTCCCGGATTCACTTACACTTTAGGCTTAGAAACTTACAGCGCACAAAGAGATACACAGATTTGGCCCATTGTGCCTATGATAATTCTCTGAAAGAGAAATCCATTCAGTCCAATTTTCCTGCCATTTCTCCATACCCTTTCAATTTCTCCTTTTTAGATACTTATCTTAACAACTAATGTGCAATGCGCCCAAACCACTGTTCTGGGTGGGGCATTTCCACATCTTAACAACTCTATGTGATTTTTTGATCAATAAAAATGCTATACATTTATTTCACGAATACGGATTCTTCATGCCTTGTGAATGAGCCAGAATGACAGCAGTGTATTGAGTAGAATAGTCAGCAATTATTTCTGAATCCTCATGCATGTATTATTCACTGTTGCCAGGTAAAAGAAAAGGGATCCACGAGGGTTCATGCACTGAACAATGTCAACAGAGCACTGCAGATCTTGCAGAAGAACAATGTAAGTGAACAGTCACATGATTGTGTGGGCGATCTCCAGGCTGAGAGAGATTGGAGCTGAAGTCAGCTCACAAGCTTCTGCATCGAGTTGTGAAGTTGTCTCATTTACTGAGGTCTCAGTTCAGAACCAGGTTAAAATCTTACATAACATGTTTTTATCCAGTAATTTATTTCTAGTTATTTGTGTGTTTTATTGAGAATTTTCCAATCTCCCCCAGTTTCCTCCAATATTTAAGGGGTGGGGTGGAGAGATTAGCCATTGTTCCCCGCCACTCCGCCTCCCCCATTTTGGGCAACAAATGTGTCTGGTTGTGGACAGGCTCCCTCCCTGCTCTCTGTCAGTACTGCTCACTACTGTACCAACCAACATGGCACAGCAAGCTAAATGACTCTCTGGGGCTAAGATTAGGCCTTCTTCCTCCCTCTGTAAGAGACTAGCCCATGGTTCCACTCAGCACCTCCCTGACATTCCAAGGCGGGACATGCCTCTGACTGCCTCCGGAGTTGATGGTACAGGTTGAATGAATCTGCCACTGGCGCGTTTCATCCAAACTATCTTGCAGCAACCCCATCTAGTGTCTGCAATCGGTACACTTTTTACAAAAAGTCTTTAACATTTTGTGAGTGAACAGTTCACACACTGTGTTCAGTTGCAGAGAGTCAGTGGAACAAAAAAGAAAGCTTCTCTTAGGGCCGCAGTGCTCTGTTGTGTAACATGCAAGTGTCATTCTTGTATTGGGTGGCCGATTACCTGTAAAAAAATACATAGTATAAACATGCTGCTGCTTCAAAGCTGTGTGGGATGTTTTCCTCCCAGCCAGTGCCCTCCCTTCAGTGCTAGCTTTTCCACGAATGTAAGAGTCAGTAGTGAGTTTTACTGCATTTCTGCTGCTCTGCTTATTCCACAGGTTGACTTGGTAAATATTGGAGGAAGTGATATAGTGGATGGAAATCACAAACTTACCCTGGGCTTGATCTGGAGCATCATCCTCCATTGGCAGGTAATGTGTCCTGAAATTGTAATAGTTTTAACAACAACAGTTATTGTTTATATAGTGCCTTTCTCTTTAGGAGCTCGGGATATGGGAGATAGCCAAAAAACATTCCATGATTAGCGTTAATGTGTGGTCTTAGTGGCAGAAGAAGCGGGAAGCTTGCCAGACAATGCTCTCATTGGGACTCATGCATTTTTAGCTGTTTAAACTCAAGCAGTGCTCCAACACACTCTCAGGGTCCCCAAGTTTTGGCTCTTACCAACCAATGCCGAATATTCTCTAGAATTAGGTGAGCGGGATGCATTCTTTGAGGGAGAGAGTGCAGGGAAATTTCCTCATGTGGTGGCATATATATCTGCCACTCTTTGATTGATTTGGTTACTCTTAAGCATAATGAATTTCTCCATGTGTCAGACCAAACAAAAAAATTGATATGCTTAATCTTAAAGTGTATGGATTATTACCTGATCAAGGAGTTATTAGACAGCCTTCGTCATGACAACCCCAACCTTCTATTTCATAACAATTGACCGTTTCATTTATGCGTGGAAATTTCCCTCTTTTTCTTCCAGACAAAGGGAAATTTCCAAGCATATGTGGAACTCTTATCTGGTTCGGATTGGCTTTAAATGTGGGAGAAGTGCAGAACCCCAAATTTACCAAAAGAAAAATTACATCACAAATATCTTTAATACAGAGTATTTCATATAAAACACATTCATAAACCTGTAGGTACAGATGTGCTCTGACTGCCTAGCAATTCCGACTATAAGATCATATAGATAGTTGCTGGAATGATGATGAAAAGAGAAGTGGAAATTATAATAGTGCAAAATATATTAAAATAGATCCCCCTCTCCCCATACACGCCTGCCTCCTCAGCTCCACCACACGCCTCCCCCTTCAAGACACACACACATATAGCTCAGCCAGGTTCCCAATCAGCTCTGTGAAGTGCTTTAATATGTCCTCCAGATGGGACAGGCACTAAATACTCGTGGAGTCCTGTAGCTCAGTGGTTAGAGCACTCGCCTTGCAAGTGAGAGACCTGAGTTCAATTCCAGACAGGACAAAACCTTGGGCAAGTTTCCTTACTCCACACGCCTAATAATAATCCCTCCAAAACAAAAACAATAATAAATTGGTTATTTTCAATCCATGACTGTTTGTGGGACATTGCTGTGCGAAATTGGCTGCTGGGTTCGCCCACAAATATACAGTCAATTCACTTTACAGTATATTCTGTGAAGCGCTTTGGGACGTCCTCCTGACGTGAAAAGCGCTATATCAAATGCAAGGATTATTATTATTATTATATAAATTGCTTAAAACAAAAAGAAATTGTGTATCAAACTCAATGGGGAGGTACATATTGTCAGATTGAGCCTGCTCAATGTTTCATGGGTGTGAATTTAATACTGGAGTCCTCAGTATTGATTTATCTTCTTTTCAGGTTAAAGATGTTATGAAGGGAATCATGGCAAACCTGCAGCAGACTAACAGTGAGAAGATTCTACTGAGCTGGGTCCGTCAGTCTATCTCCAACTATACATCAGTCAACGTTGTCAATTTCACTTCCAGTTGGTCGAATGGCTTGGCTTTCAATGCACTCATCCACAGTCACAGGTGAGAAGCAAGCAGTTTTACTTTTTTATGATTTTTCTGTTTTGAACACATTTCATTATTAACAATTATAAAATTCATTTATTGATGATAATCGAGGCCCCCGGTACAGAGATGGTCAAAGAGTCAGAAGGAAAAATATTTCTATAGTACAGAGTTGAGCAGAACCTAGGTTATGATGAACATAACTTTGGAGAAAGACTTCAATAATAATATAAAATATAAGATGGTAATGTAATTATTATTCTTTGGATTTTAGCCGGGTGTCTGACACGTGCGGAAACCCATCACCATGTTTAAGTGTATCCAAACCAAGCTGAGATTTCCATGCATCCTACCTATGCATGGATATACCATAGATAGATTGTTGGAATGGAACACAAACTCTCTCCTTGGATGGACTCGTCCTGCTTATCTAAATCTGAAAGTATTAGGTGCAGGTTGGCAAAAGTCAAGGTTAGGGGACCCCAGAGTGTGCGCTGGAGTCTAACCAACTAAATCCGCATAGCTTGCCATTGATCTGCTGTCTGGCAAGCTTTCCCACTGCTTATTCAGCTAGGACCACCCTACATGTTAGGGCTTTGGCTTGCAGGGTTAACAGGAGCTGAATGGAATGGCTCCCTTCCCTCACCCAGTAACTGGTTTGCCCTTCCAGGTCCTGCTGATGAGCCAGCAGTGCTGTTATTGACAGGGCCCTGGAATACTGCAGACCCACCTGTCTCAGGAACCAGACTACCGAGACCACCATAGAGGCTAGCATGATTCTGACATTCCATTGCCAAGCAAGAAGTGTCCGATATCAGACTCTGTTAAAGGAAACAGAGTTGTTCAATAATAATAATAATAATAATCTTTGCATTTGATATAGCGCTTTTCATGTCTTCTCGACGTCTCAAAGCACTTCACAGGATAGACTGTAAAGTGAATTGACCGTATATTTGCAGGCGAAACGCGGCAGCCAATTGCGCACAGCAGTGTCCTACAAACAGTCGTGGATTGAAAATGACCAATTTATTATTGTTTTTTTTTGGATTATTATTATTCAAGATGCTGACAAATCACTCATTAGTGTTAAAGAGCAGAGTTTTAGAGGTGCATAATATAAATAAGAAGATCACTAGTATTACAGCTATGCTGAAAATGAATAATCAAAATTAATACAAACACAAGCACATTTCTAAAATCCTTGTTTTTCTAAGAGTTTGACTTAGGTTGAAATTTGGAGGCAGATCCCTTGAGGACAAATGGAGGGATACTTTGGGGTCAGAGTAGTGGAGGATCCAATAGATATGGTTGAAATAAAATATAAGGTTGGTTGGTGAGGTATAATTGAACAATCAGGAGGTATTCTTTGCCAGAATTATCACAATTAAGAGAGGAGAAAGAAGTGAGAATTAAGCTAGCTTTCTCTATAATGCAGCTGGAAAATGAACCATGCAGAGGGAAGAGATCACAAAATTCCTTTGCAAGCTTTGACAAGTGTCCAGAAGGAAGTGGAGGGGCAGGAAAAACAACAGTTGAGACCATCTTTCAATCAAATAGCATTTTACTGTTCTATTGGACTTAGAGGTTATGAGCAAGAATAAAGTTGACTTGGTATCAGATTGATTAGCGTGTCACATGCAATAAGCAGAATTTGAAAGACAGTAGAACTTTACAAAGCAGATAGTAATAATAATAATAATCCTTGCGTTTGATATAGCGCTCTTCACGTCTTCTAGACGTCTCAAAGCGCTTCACAGAATATGCTGTAAAGTAAGTGACCATATATTTGTGGGTGAAATGCGACATCCAATTGTGCACAGCAGCGTCCCACAAACAGTCGTGGATTAAAAATGACCAATTTATTATTGTTTTGTTTTGGAGAGATTATTAATAGGCGTGTGGAGTAAGGAAACTTGCCCAAGGTTTCGCTCTGCCTGGAATGGAACTCAGATGTCTCGCTTGCAAGGCGAGTGGTCTAACCACTGAGCTACAGGACTCCATAATAGGATTGAACTTGGATACAGTGTGTGATCTGATGATCAGAAAGAATAAGGCATCAAACCTTTCATATTGGTTAATATAACATCAGTCATATACAAAGAATCAAAGCAGTCAAAAAAGTATTCAGACCAGACAACACTAGCAAAGGTTTCTCTAACTGAGTTGTAATGTGAAACAAACTGAGTATCATTGACTGGAAATAGTATAGTAGGTAAAGAGATAAAACGTTATCTCTTGCCACTAATAATAGTTTTAACTATCTTCTGTAATGATAATCCTGAAGAAAAACATTTAACTTTTAAGGTAAACTTTTAAACGTGGATCGAAATTGTGCAACAATGAAAAAGAATAGTTCCGTAAATGGAGTGTTACGAATATTCAGTGTTTTTAAATTGTTTTTTTCATGTTCTGAAAGTGCCTTTAGAATAAAATGCGGCATCTCTTCTGTTGGCACGGATCACTTCCATTGTGTACACATGTAACAGATTGGCCTTGCAGTGGTATTTGAAATGTGCTAATCTGATAGTTTGTTTACATATTGACGATTATATTGAACAGTCAAAGCAAATATATAAATATGCAATGCCATGCTCAGCTTTTATGAACAAAGGGTATAATTAGTTTAAGTTTTAATTGAAGGTGCAAAACAATATTCCTGGTTTATTGACTGCACCATCGTTTACTCTCTAGTGCAAGAATATAGTCAAGTGTTTGAATGTTGAATAGTAGCAATACACATGGATATTGTTTTCTTTTGAATATTTTATTATTTATGGTATCCATTTCTGCGCATCATGTAAACTTGTAAAGGATAATTGATGCCTTTGGGAATCACGAGGTTGCATTTCAAATGAGGATCCAGATGATTTCTGAAACCTATGAGAACAATTGCTTTGTTTACCTGAATGCAATATTTTAGGTTGGATAAACGTTCATCAGTGAGCACATCCCATTATCACAGTAGAGCTATTTACTGTCAGTAAAAAGTAAATCGCAGAAAATTGGCAAGAAACTGCTGTAGTACTGTACTGTAGAATAAAAAATGGCGGCGAGCTGGAGGCTGGAATCGTGAGGAGGTTGCCAAACATGATTACAAAAACGGGGGAAAACCCCCTGGTTTTTTGCAATCCTGGCAAGTGGGCTCAATCGGAGTCCCATTGGAGTGGACAGGGGGAGGGCAGGAGCTCTTGGACTTGAGGCCTCCTGTGGCGGGCGGCCTAGAACTGGGACTGAGGTGACTTCACACGAGCGACGCCTGGAGTGAGGCCTAATCTGACGTTTGGAGCGAGGTCGCAACTCGATGGCTGGAGTAGGCCCCTGGCTTACACGCGAGGGAGGCTCGAGGCCAGCCCTGGTGTGGAGTCCGATGTCCCAAATTGGATCCAGATCCAACTCAGGGACCGAGGCCCACCTACCTGAGCCTGGCGGAGACAACGTGGGATTCACCGCCTCGGCTAACGCTGATTCTCCTGGGCAACATCCAACCAGAGACCGGCTGCCGCGTGACGTCACATCTGAGCCTGGATTCACTGGGACTATAACATTGTCCCCCTCTCCCCATGATGATCCTCACCAATGGGCCAACCATGCCTTGCTGACCCCCCGCTGTTCGCTTTTAGTCTCGGCGTGCGCATTTTGGCTGCTGGCCCGACCCAAGCTACTTCCCCATAATGCTCCCACCCCTATCCTGTACTCTCCATTACACCTACTAGGTCCTCCTCTCCCACTGCCCTCCCTGACTCCTATCTCTGCTCGACCAGCTTGCGAATCCCTCATCAGGCCCACGGTGGGAGTCCCCACTGGCTGTCCAACAGCAGCCACTCTGACTGCCCTACCCCCTATTCTCACCACAAGGCTCATTGGTCCCTGACCCCAGGGCCCAACCTCTCCTCCCTCATCCATATTCCCACCCTCCCTGTCAGTCCTCCTCCTCCCCTCCCTCGCCCCCCACATTTCTCCACCACCAACTGTCCCCTCCGCATTGGCCTATAAAATGTCCGCTCCCTCTCTAACAAAACAATCACCATCCAAGACCTCATTGTCGATGAAAACATCGACATTCTCGCCCTCACCGAAACCTGGGTCACTGCAGGTGACACCTTCCCCCTGATAGAAGCCACACCACCCGGCTACACCTTCCATCATACTCCATGACCTAACTGCTGTGGTGGTGGAGTGGTTCTTTCCCTCAAAATTCTCCTCATCTATCGCCCCCCCCCACCCAAGTCTCCCCCCACCTTCAACCCCAACATCTCCACCCACCTATCTTCCCTCTTCCTCTGCTCCGAACGTGTCCTCATCCTAGGTGACTTCAACCTGCACCTCATCCCCTCTGCTGACTTCTCCTCCCTCCTTTCCTCCCTTAACCTCCACATCTATTCCGCCACCCGTGTCCGCGGTCATCCCCTCGACCTGGTGATCACTTGGGGCCTCACCATCTCGGACCTCACCATCATCGTCAAAGCAATCTCGGACCATCATTAACTCCCTTAACTCCTCAATCCCTCTCCCCACTGCCACCCAACCCCACTTCATCTCCTACCGCTCCTGGAAGAAAGTCTCCCCCCCTCCCTCTCGGTTGCCTTGGAGTCATCTGAACTCCTTCCTCTCCGGGCTTCCTCCTGCAATGACCTACCCTCCTCGGGCACTCTTCTCCACAGCTCCCTCTCCTCCACTCTTGATTCCCTTGCTCCCCTCTCTTCCCGAACTGTCTCCTGTTCACATAAGTCACCATTGTACACCAGCCACCTCCGCTCCCTTAAAGCACAGTTGCATGCCGCTGAATGGACCTGGCTTAAATCAAACTTAACGGTCCATCGGCAGATCTGGCTGGACCTTATCAAATCTTATTGCTCCGCCCTCGCCTCTGCTAAATCGTCATTCTACTCCAGGACAATCTTGGAAGGACAACCCCAGGCTCCTCTTCTCCATCACTAACCGGCTCTTCCGCCCACCCTCTCACGCTTCACCCATCTTCACCTCCAATGCCAACTGTGAGGCAATGCTAGATTTCCTTG